GCCAAACTAGCTGTCACAGGTATATGGGAAGTGAATCAGTAGATGAAAAATTCTCTCTGCTGCACACATTAGGGGAGTGCACCAGCAGATGGAAAATTTCTTTCAAATAAAATAATTTTTTGTTTTAAAATTTAAAGCCAATTAAAGACATTCGGCCAAATCCTCCACCTGAGCATCCCTATTGAGAAAGCTAATGAACAGAAGACTATTCAACTCTCACCTTGCCTGGATGAGCACCTTATCTGGATGCCATTTTGGTGGCTCTTAATTTGTCCACCAGGCTACCAAGTCCCTAAGAAGTGACTTGGTTCAAAGTCATCAAGACAGGGGCCAGCACTGTGGCATAAAGGCCACCACCACCTGCAGTGCTGGTTGCTCCACTACCAATCCAGCTCCCTGCTAATGCACCCAGGTAAGCAGCAGCAGATGGCCCAAGTCCCTGGGGCTCGGCACCCATGTGGGAGACCTGGATGGAGCTCCTGGCTCCTGGCTTCAGCCTGGCCCAGCCCTGTCCGCTGCAGCCGTTTGGGGAGTGAATCTGCAGATGGAAGACCTCTCTCCTTTCTCTCTGCCTCTCAAATCAATCAATATTAAAATAAATAAATAAATAAAAGACAACTGACATTTTATCAGAGCCAAAAACACATACATATTCTGGCTGCAAACCTTCAACAAAATATAATTCATATAATTGACAGATGACAGCCTGGATTCTTTAAAGGGGATTGAGGGACAGATCCAAATTTAGGGGTAAACAATGTCAGTGAAAACTACTTAAGACATAAACATTAGTTTCATGCCCTTAGGGGTGAAAATACTAGGATACTTCAAAAAGGTCACAGAAAAATTGCATTAAAAATAACGTATTCTCCATGAACTTTTTGAAAACTCCTTTTATACACCTAGTAACAAATGAGTTACAGGTCTGACAGGACTCAAATTGAAAGCCACTATTCTATGAAGATGTTCATGAGAACCAGCAGCTCAAATGAAGTGGGCTTCCCAGGCTTCTAATCCCACTGCCAGCTATATATACCTTTCTTAGCCTTCCTTAATGTCTTTGCATTTCCCCTGCACGTGGACAATGACCTTTCTTCTCCATAACTCTAAGAAGCTGATCTCAGGACAGTATTGCAAGACAAGGTGGCCACACTGATGTGGTCCAACAGCCTGGAGGTCCTTCCCGTGTCCCACGCATCACAGCAACTCACCGTCTTCACTGTGAACCCAGGTGCTGCACTCACACCACTGTGTGCTCCACGAGGCCATCCCACCCTTCCCAGAACGTTCTAACATTTCTATGAGGTGGCTAGCACGTAATACGCAGCAGGAGGCCCTTACTTGTGTCACATTTGACCCTCCTGACAGCAGCATGGAATGATTACAAGCAAAGTTCCAGACAGTTCAAATGGCTGGTTCAATTCCTTGATCCACCATTTTCAGCCATGTGACCTTAAGATATTTAACCTACAGCTTCAATTTCCCTATTTACAAAAGAGGCTTGGAAATAAACACCTAATTCATGTGGATCGCCACGGTGCTTAGTCTATGAAAGACCCTTTTAGTGCTGCTTAGCACTGCAATGAATGCTATTATCCATCCCCCTTTTATAAACGACAAACCTGAGGTAGAGCTGCTGACAGGTCCAATGCCACATAGCTAGGAGGGGTATAGCCATCACTCAAATCAGGAAAGCAGATTTCAAACAGTCGGGGCAGACATCTGGCACAGCAGTTCAGGTACTGTGTGAGACATCACATCCCAAACTGGAGTGCCTAGGGTGAAACCTGGCCCTGCTTCCGACACCAGCTTCCTTCTAAAGCACACCCTGGGAGCGCACAGATGGCAGCTGAAGGAATGGGTCCCTGTGCCACCCATACAGGAGAGCTGGGTTGAGTTCTAGTCTCCTGGCTTTGGCCTAGCTCAGTCCTTGCAGTTATGGACATTAAGGGAGTAAATGAAGAGATGGAATACCTCTGTCTCTACCTTTCAAATAAAATAAAAAACAACCTTTAAGATTAAAAAAGTCTGGCTGGCGCCGCGGCTCACTAGGCCAATCCCCCACCTGCGGCACCAGCACCCGGGGTTCTAGTCCCAGTTGGGGCACTGGTTCTGTCCCGGTTGTCCTCTTCCAGGCCAGCTCTCTGCTCTGGCCTGGGAGGGCAGTGGAGGATGGCCCAGGTCCTTGGGCCCTGCGCCCGCATGGGAGACCAGGAGGAGGCACCTGGCTCCTGGCTTCAGATTGGCGCAGCGCGCCGACCATAGCGACCATGTGGGGGGGTGAACCAACGGAAGGAAGACCTTTCTGTCTCTCTGTGTCTAACTCTGTAAAAAAAAAAAAAAAAAAAAATTAAAATAGTCTATGTCCAGTCAGGTGTTAAATCAAAACTCTATAAAGTAGTCTCTTAGTAAGGACTGCCACATCCTCTCCTCATCTACCACGGGCCAAGCACTGGTTACTAACTAACTGCTTCACTGAGACAGTCCTGCTTCCCTTTCCAGGCTGGACATTTTTCAAGGTCAGCCCAAGCTACCTGTGCCCTGCATTTCAGGCACTTTAAATACATATTTTAAATGATTTAGAACTAGATATGAAACCCAGGTTTAAGAATTTCCTCTGGAAAACTCGACTGCTTAACCCTTCATGACATTTTAAACTTAGCCATTTTTTAATATGCTATCCATCTCATCTCTATCCCAAACTCCCATTACATAGTATACTAGTCCATAATCCTGGTAAATCTTTTTGCATTACAACCACTCATCCCATGTTATAGTCCACTTACTTGGCTTGACACGGCTTCACAGGACAAAATGCACGGAAGACCACGATCTGCAGACTTCTGATATAACTGAGGGGTATGACTAAAAAGGGAGCCTACCTGTAGAGGACGAGCCTTCAGTGATGATCCTAGTAACTCCATTAAAAGACGGGGCCCCAGACCTACCCCAAACATAATTTAAAACAAGGTCAAAATCTCAGAAGAGAGCAGACTGACAAGGCTAGAAGCTTCTACATGGTCTTCTTTCAGGAATAAACCAACTGAAACGTCTCCAATGAAGGCCAAGTTGTAGAGGTGAATGGTGTATTAGCTGAGTGATCCAGAGACACACTGAAAGCCCATGTTCCCAAAATACACATTAAGTGTCTATCCTCCCATTCACTCAACCCAACTCTTCCCAAGTTACAGGACGCTAGAAATCGGAAAGCCATAAAAAGCGAAGTATAAGGAGTGGGTTATGTAAGATTAACAAAGGTGGCACAATTTAAATCAAAAAGAGGGGAGAGAGATTTTAAAACAATCTGTAAGAAAGAGGAAAATGACAAATGATTTAGCTTTGTGGCTCCTTCTGGCTTTAACAACCAGAAGCCTGAGGGCTGAGGCAGCAACGGCAACAGGACCTAAAGATGACAGGTGGTTAAGGTGATCATCTAGGCCAGGTCATTCTGAAGAGTTGGGGCTGCAACAGAGAACATCAGCAGAGGCCCTGTTTTGCAGGAACCATGGTATTGGACAGTGACTTAGCCCTTACTGGAGAGAGGAAAATGACAGAAAGCCACACTGACGAAGAAAGAAATACTGCAAATACACGGGTCACAATCATAAGCCTGCAGTCAACCTTCAATACTGCAGAATAACCGAAGCTCAGCTTATTAGCTCGCCTCTCACAGATCACTCCACCACCGCACAGGAAAAACAAGAAACCTATCCACCTCCTCCTCCCATTGTTCCTCAGTCCTGCAAAGAAATGCAAAGGAGCAGTGAAGCACCTGAAGGCGAAGCAATGAGCAGGAGAAGCAAAGAAGAGAGCGATGGCCCCAGGACTCCCTGATCACCCACTGGCACCCCCAAGTAAGAGCTCACGGTCTGAAGACTGATGTTTCTGCACGCCGGGCAGAGGGAAGCAGATACCTGGGGCAAACTACCCTGCAGCAGGCAAGCTCACACGTGAAGCTGATGGAGGAAGAGGACAACCCACCTGGCACGCCACGAGACTGACACACCTCCCCAGATACCTTACCCTAGCAGGCCACCCAATCAAGTCTCCAGAGCCCCTCTCCCCAAAGGAGCATCAGTTTTTCCTGTTGCCACCCACCCAATGGTCCTTTATTTGCCCATCAAGCCGAAGCCTCCACCTTTTCCCTGGTTGGAACTTCCATGTTTTTTTGTGCTCAACCCCCAACCCAGGAATAAAAGCATAGAAACAGTCTTCCAATTTCCACCCAATCCCAGCACCCCGACTTGGTTATGCTTGCACCCCACCCCTTCCCACAGTCTCTCATGACATCTTCAAATATAAACCCATCAAGAAAACATCTGAACACCCTAACCAATGGAGACAGGGAAAGGAGTCTCAGGTGACTGATGGCAGGGTTGGCAGGACGCAGGAAGGACGCTCCATGGTGAAGTTCAACAGGCGAAGTACCAGGTCTACGGCCAGAACGCTCCATACCTGTTTCAAATTCTCCCTGCCCCTCCTTTCTCCAACCACAGGGCAGTAACAGACACTGACATCTCCCCCAACCCACAATGGCTCCTTTGCTGATGCCGACTCCAGCATTCACTCAAGCCCACTGCCTGCAGGATCCACTAGCTTTGTAAACACCACAGCAGCCCATTCCCAATCTATTTGAGAAGCCAAACCCCAGAACCACCCTGCTGGAGCAAAAGTTGTTCCTGAACTGGGGAAAAGTCAGGGAACACGGTCAGCCAGAGGCAGAGGAAATGGGCTTTAGTCGCTGGATTTCGGTGCTCAATTAAAGCTGACAGCCAAGGAAGTCCAAGACTCTTGAGTGGACTCTGCAGTCCTAAAGACGCAGGCAGGCTGAGCACTGACGAGCTAACCCCTCTGGGCAGGGAAATCGTTATCCCCACGTGCACACCCCTTCTCTCCCCCACCGTGGATTCTTCCAGCTGCCTCCGCTTTAGCTGCCATGTATTCCTGGATGTCAACTGACTCCTCTGACACTGAGTGCAATCAAGACAATGACAACCAGGTTTCCAAACTGCAAATTGCCCCAAGTTTTATTTGTAGTCCATACAAAAGGGAAAAAATTAAGGTTTTCTAATACCACCTACTTGGGGAGATGGGGAAGTGGGACTGTGCCGCTCACCATCAGCCAGAACATCAATGGTCGGTCGGGATTTGGACATGTACCAACTGACTGTCCCAACAGGAACTCAGTCTCAACAGTCTACAGAGGGACAGTCAGGGACCCCTGGACTGCTGGCACAGTTTGGCGCATAGGAAATGGTCAAGCTAATCCTTTCCTGGCCTCCCTCACATCTAAAAAGAAAAAGGCGCCGCCGACCTCAGCTGCAGGTTGCTTCCCCATCCAGACGACCTTAAATATCGCGCACAAAAAATAAAAGGGAGCCAGGAAAAATAAAAACATAAAAGAAATTCCCATTCTGGGGAAATGGGAGGCAAGGTGGAGGGGAAACCGCAGATCTAGAGCCAGTAGCAAGATTTGCTGCTGAGGCGAAGAACAAAGTCGGTTACTGCCAAACACTCAAAAGGATCAGCTCCTGGGGGAAGGCCCACTGGTAGAGGGGATGAAAAACCGCAACCGGGAGAGCCAGGGCCACAGGAGGCATAACCGGGTCTGCACCCTACCTACCTCGCCCGCCCTCCCTCTGGTGTCCCCTCCCCAGGATGGCCCTACATGCGGCGCTGGTAGCCAGAGTGCATCTGAGCTGCCCGCAGGTAATCATTATAGGAGCCCGAATAGCGTGCGTAATCAGAATGGGCATCGGGCAGGCGACGGTAATCCAGCGAGGACTTTGTCGGCGAGCGGCGGAACGAAAGCTGCGACTCTGATAAACGGCGGTAATCAGAGAGCTCGGCTAAACGCCGGTCGGAACCATACCTAGTCGAGAGAAGAAGACAGTTGGTGAATGAGACAATTGAGGGGAGGGCTCCAGGTGGGCATGGGGGAGATGCCAATGGGGACAGGGAGGGTGTGATCAGACTGGTCTCCAACAGATTGGTCTCCTTTTGTCAGAAGGCTCATCACCCTAGCCAGGCCACGAAATCCAGCCTGGGTTCAACCCAGTGGGAAACCAAGCCCTCCACTGAAGTCCTCCCTTCCCAACTGGCCAAGGTGGATTTGGTCTACATCCCCAAATCACAGAGTACCTCCACCCCGGGCCCTACACAGACAGACCCTGGTTGTTTATCAACAGAACGGCGGATGAAAGCAAGGTCCCCAACTCTCCGGAGTGGACGCACCTCATAGACTTGCCTTCAGACAGCTGAGTGCCAAAGGGACTCCTCTTTCACACCCACACCCACTCCCACACCCACACCCACCAAAGCCAGGACAACCGTATGCCAGGTTTAAGGATCCTTGAGACAGTGGGAAAGGGCATGGGCCACAATCCCGCAGGCAGGGGCCTCAGCGGCAAGTGGTGATGCTTTTGCTGGCCTGATCAGCTAATACCACCCCAGGCTGGAGAACCATGCTCCACCCGATTCTGGCGACCAGAAAAGTCCACACACACCACCCCCTCAGCCTCTGGACATCCCAAGGGAGTAAAGGAAAAAAGACCGAGGGAGGGGCCGATGGCTCCAGTTTCCCTCCCATGCCAACCTCAGCCCCTTGCCCTGAGCCCCAGCTGGGGGCACAGGCGGGGGGGCATACAGTACCTTTTCGACATGGCGACAGCCTTTTTGTAGGGATCGTCGTAGCTGGCCCGGGGTGGGGAGAGACGGGTACGCTCATAAGGCGGCGGGGTGCTGTTGGCGTTGGCAACGGCCCCCTGGGACATGGACAGGTAGGCTGCAGACGGCTGACCTGCCCCGTCGTAGGCACTGCCCGGCTGGCCGCGGTAGGAGGCAGCAGCCTGAGGATGCTGCTGGGCAGCATAGGAAGCAGCCAGGGAGGCTGACTGAGTGCGGTAGGGCGCTGCCAGGGTGGCAGAAGGCTGGGCCCCATAGGCGGCTGCGGCACCATAGGAGCCAGTGGCCGCAGCCGCCGACTGAGCCCCATAGGAGCCTGACAGGCCCATCGATGCTTGAGCCCCGTAACTATTCAGCTGGGTCTGGACCACCGGCTGGGCCCCATAGGAGCCAGCCATCGGGGTAGTGGCTTGTGCAGCGTAGGCGGCTGGCTGGCTGGCGTAGGCGGCAGCTGTGGCTGGCTGTGCCACATAGGCGGCGGGCTGAGAAGAGTAGGAAGCAGTCTGCTGTGCAGCATATGGAGCGGACTGGGCATTGTAGGAGGCCGAGGGCTGGGCACTGTAAGAAGCTGCCTGGGCTCCATAAGCCAGTGAGGAGGCTGCAGACTGAGCCCCATAGGAGGCTGCCTGAGCCCCATAGGAACCTAGGGAGGAAGCTGCTCCCTGGGTGTTGTAGGAGGACGCTGCCGCGCGAACCCCATAGGAAGAGGCAGCCTGGGCGCCATAAGAGGATGGCTGGTTACCATAGGAGGCGAGGGAGGAGCCCTGCGCCCCATAGGAGTTGAGTGAAGAAGCCGCAGCTGCCTGACCCCCATAGGAGAGGGCTGAGGCTGAGGGCTGGGCTCCACCATATGGGCCAAGTGAAGAAGCTGCGGCAGACTGGGAGCTAGGGCTAGCCAGCTGGCCCCTGTATGGGGCCCCAAGGGAGACAGAGGGCTGAGCACGGTAAGAGGCTGCCTGGGCTGTCATGGGCTGAGTCCGGTAGCCAACACCCAAAGAGGCAGAAGGCTGAGCCCTGTAAGCAGCTCCCAGCGACACGGAGGGCTGGGCCCGGTAGGTGGCGGGCTGGGCCGTCAGAGGAGCCACGTACGAGGCTCGGGGAGGTGAACGGCGCAGGGGGCTGCGGTCGCGACCAAAGAAAGGAGGTGTGGGCTGACGGGCTTGCCCATCAAAGCCACCAGTGCTGTTGCCAAAAGCCTGCTGATAGTCGAAGGTGGCAGAGAAGCCACCAGTTCCAGGGAATGCCGTATCCCCAGCCCCTGGTTTCTTGGTCTTGTCCCCAGACTGGATAGCCAGGCCAGGCCCCTTCTTCTGACCCTTGGTTGAGAGTTCCACGTTGATGCGCTTGCCCTTCACTTCTTTGCCGTTGAGCTGCGCGATGGCGGCTTTGGCATCTGCTTCCTTCTCCATGTGAACAAACGCGTAGTCTGATAAAGCAGCAGACAGAGGGTTAGCAATTAGGGGGGCAGGGCACGCTACCTGATAGGTCCCAAACTGGACACACAACAGCACCCAGCTGTTGCCAGCTACCTCCAGGCCTCCAATCCCTACTGAGCAGGAGTACATCATACAGTGTGGCTCCCAGATAACAAGGTTTCTGTCTCCAACAGCCAGCTTTGCCTGCGGTCTTCTCCCCCACTCTTCCTTTTCCCCTGCCACCTCACCCAACTCCCTCATCAAAGAAGAAAGCGCAGAGATGGACTCAAACACAGGATTAAAAATCTTCACAGCCCCTGTTAGTATAAACCAGCAGACAAAATGCAGAACGAGTCCCTGAATCACTCAATTACTTAATGTTCTCAACCCAAGTTCACCGAACACTACAGCTCACCTTCAGGGCTTAGCTCTCAAGCACTGGTTTCAGCATGACCCATCTCTCAGTCTCCATCCAATTAAGGCAAGAGTTAAGCCTGCACCGAGCAAGCCGTTCACAAAAGTTCCTCCAATGTGACCTCACCTTGTTTGCATAGTACTTTCCAGCTTTCAAAGCACTTTCACGAATAGACCCTCATCAAGGCCTCACAAAATCCTGTGAGGTAGGTAGGTAGGACAAGGGACCGTTACCTCCACTGTCCAAGTGCGAGAACACGCTCAGTTTTCACACGGCTTGTCTCAAACCACAGCGTATTAGAGCCAGGACCAGGACACAGTTCTTCCTTGCCATTGTGCTTCACCACTCTATCCTGAGAAGTCAACGCATAAGGCAGGATTGTGCAACCTGACCAAAAGGTAAGCGGAGCAGGGGAGAAGCTAGATCCCATGTAAGCCATTTCCAGGTGTGGAAATGCACACAGACTTCTGGCTGAGTTCAAGTACAAGTTTCCTCTCCTAGGCCACACCATTCCCTCTTCTAAACAGACAGAGGTGTATCGTGACCACTGGGCCTCGGCTGACAGAGCAAAGATCTCATTTCTCAGCTGCAACAGAGCTGCAGCCAGTAGGCTGCTAAGCAGATCACTCCTGAAGCACTTACTCAAGACTGAACGGTTACAGTGGAAGAGGTTCCAACACCGGATGCTGGCCCCAAAGTTCTATTCATTTATTACACAGAGAAAACCTGAGAAGGAGGACAGGGAAGAAGTCTGGATCACATCCACTCACAAAACCACGGTGGTCTAAGTGAGATACACCTCTGGTCAATAAAGCCCTGACTTAAACTCATCTGGGGCACTTGGCCACTTGTAAGGTCTCCAGGTGCCAGGATTCAATCTGTCACATCAGTTTAAGAAACAGAGCTATCTGGATGAAACTACTTGGGTTCCACTCTCTCTAATGTAAGAATCCTTTTCAGCCGGCGCCGCGGCTCACTAGGCTAATCCTCCGCCTGCAGTGCCAGCACACCAGGTTCTAGTCCCAGTCGGTGCGCCGGATTCTGTCCCGGTTGCCCCCCTTCCAGGCCAGCTCTCTGCTGTGGCCAGGGAGTGCAGTGGAGGATGGCCCAAGTGCTTGGGCCCTGCACCCCATGGGAGACCAGGATAAGCACCTGCCTCCTGCCTTCGGATCAGTGTGGTGTGCCGGCCGCGGCAGCCATTGGAGGGGGAACCAACGGCAAAGGAAGACCTTTCTCTCTCTCTCACTGTCCACTCTGTCAAAAAAAAAAAAAAAGAATCCTTTTCATAGCCTCTAAACAAGTGTCCCAATTTTTAAAAATTTCATACTGGGATGTCCCCTCTAGCTGTTTCTACAGAACAAATCATACCCCTGAATTTGAGGAAAATGTCACCAACCTTGTAACAGGAATAAAAACACAATCAACAGGTAGAAGTCAGAAGTATGGTATAGCATAAGGGATGCTAAGCTAGGAATTAAAAGGCCTTAGTTCTAAATCCAGTATCACTGACTGGTTTAAGATCTTAGGGAACTTAACCATTTATTTCCTCATCTGACAAATATGTCTTATCTATAAGATTTCAAGTGAGAAGATAAAAGTACCTTGTAAGGTATAAACGGCTATGGGATGACAAGGAACTATGATACTTCAAACCTAGGAATAACCAGAGGTTTATTTTCCTATAGAATATTATCTCTCGTCTCTAATAAGACAAAATGCCATCCATCTGCACAAGCAAGCTTGGAAATTTCCAGAGATAATTTAAAAAAAAAAAGTGAACTATCACAACTTGGTACTCAACACACCCCTCGCCAGAGCCAGATTCCTTATCTACCAAATGTGAAAAGCTATATATTCCTTCCCTCACTGGGACAGTCCTCCAATCTCTCATTTCATGGCTCATGAATAGAGTAAGCTAAAAATAGTAGCCTGTGGTCTAAGATTCCTTTAAAAGCAAAGGCTGAGCTGACCCTCAGGAATGGCAAAACCACCTAGAGAATGCAACAGCAACCAGAAATGTCCACTCAAAGAAAAAGTAGGAAAAGAGCTTATAGACAGATTTGGGAGGTGGGGGGTGGTGTGGAGCAACCTCTAGACACTGTCAGGGATTAAGGAACCATACACATTCCTGAATATTTTGTCCAAATTCCTGACTCTAAAAAGACCTAAGAAAAAAACACTCAACAAAAACCTCAATGGGTTTACAAGAGCAACTGGATATCTACTAACCCCTACTTTGCTGGGTTTTATTAAGAGACCAAACAGTGAAATTTGGAAATTGAGTTCACATGGAAAATTCAACTGATCACCAAGATAAGCCAGGTATATAATTGATGATCCCCCAAAAAGTCATCTGATATAGTCCCATCACAGTGATAGTCAAACTCAGCCCTAGTCCTGCCAAAGATGCCCATAAACCCATCAACTTCTTGGCCAGTGAGGAAAAACCAGAGATTTGCAGAACTCCAAGGATTTACTTGCCTGGAGAGCCAGTTCAAGGAAACTTGTGAAAGCTCACTGCACTGCGACGAGCAAGGAATGCTTTACAGAGCCCTAATGGTCTGCAGTCCTCACAGCTCCTCCAGTGCCCAAATTCAGAGAACACAGAAAAATGAGTCTGCCAGTTCTGAAAATCCTTAACATTATGAAACTACAGAGTCCTGCATACAAAGAAAGGAGGTATTTCCCACCTCTGACTTTCAGACTCCCTAGGCTGTTCCTGAACTGTTGATCTCTGAACACTCAAGAGGATGCTGCTGTGATTACAACCCACTGTTGCTATGGAGATTTTTCCCTCTACAAATCATATCTAAGCTCCTACAGTAACCAAGCAACTATGTTTCTCCTGTGGAATGAAACAGTGCTGGTCGTTCCATGTAATACCAAACTTCTGTGCTTTTCAAAACCCTGACAGCCAACACGGGGAAAATCAAATGCCAATTCTCTGCCCAGGAAATGAGTAAGCTATTTACAGAGCCAGAGCCTGTCTCTTCTGCGCAATTCTCAACTTCAAAACCTCACCTGCTTTCATACCAGAGAGAAACAGGCACTGTGGGAGGACATCAGGTCAAAATCTCCCCCACAGTCTTCACATCTGTATCAGAAGCTCTGCTTAGTATCAACCTAATTACACATGACAGCGGAACACACTCCCTGAGGAAATCGAAGCATTTCTTCAGATCCAGTGTTTACAAAGGGACAACAGGCACACCTGTGATTTTCAGAGCCAGTCAAAGTTCACGTGCAGTTATTATGCACTTCACCCCATCACTTGCTATTGGCCCAACGCAAATGCAGTCAAATTTTTGGCTTTCTCTACAACCTAAAGGCAATATGAATTGAATGGACTGTCTCCTGGCATCTGAGATTCTCAGCTCCCAATCTAAGAGCCACCCTGCCCAAGAACCACAAAATAAACATGATAATTAAAACTCTTCTAAGAGTCGCCGACCCAAATCCACTTGTTGGTCAAACACCCAGTCTGGGATCCTCCCCATTCCTTTCCTTTAAAAGCAAAAATCCAGGCACCAGCCTGCCTGCCTCAGAGCCCCCAGCAGGAAAGCCTGATTCCGGATAGTTGTGGACTTGCTTAACCTGGCTTGAGGAAAAGAGAATGCAGGATTAATGCAGAACAAGGACTTCCTCCTAGCTAACGGACATCATGACCCCACACTTCCATTAACAGAAAGGACAAGGAATGGCCTTTCCAGGACAGCAAATGAAGTATCTCGGTGGGAACCAACAAGCACCTGCATCCATGCTCATCTCCTATCCTCAGAATTTCCCACACAGGATGTGCGCAGGTACGACTCCAACACCGGGGCTGGGGGTTCAGGTTAGGGGATCACATTCCCAAGCCGCATCCTCCAAGGTGACATGGCCGAAGTTCACACTCACGTGTTCCCAAGAGGTACAGAAACTGGCCAAACACTATGACAGGAGCTGTTCCATCGACTCTTGTTAAAATTAAAGAAAAATAACTAAGGGGATAAGAACTCAGACTGGAAAAAAGTCAACTGAGCCCCCCAAAACAGTCAGCCCTAAATTTTGGTGACACGTTTTTCTCCAAGGAAGTGCAAACGAGTGCAAGTCTTCCCTGAGGGCTAAGACTACCAACGCGATGACGACTGCTGCGGACACCGTGTTGAGCCAGCACTTCACGAGGATCTCTCAAACTCCCCTGTCCTCCCGCCCCTCGGTCACAGGATGGCCCCTTGCGAGGCCACCAAGCCCTGGGACAAAGACCTGGCAAGTAAAGGCTATGCAGAAGGGGCTTTCTTAAAACAAGCCTCCTCCCACCTGCGAAAGGTTATGGTTTCCAGTTGATGCAAAAATCGAGCCCAGTGGAGGAGGAAATTAAAAAAAAAAAAAAAAAAAAAAGCATGAGGGAGCTGGAAAGCACAGCGTTGCCACGTCCAACCCAGCACACACGAGGGCCACCGTGATCCGGAAGGGGCCCCGCCTGTCCCCACGCCAGACAAGACACAAAGACCCCAGCCCGATGCATGTCCAAGGGCCCCGTTACCTTCCGCTCGGGAGCATTCATCGAGAGGGACCACGAGGGCGGCCTTGGGGCGTCCGCCCCCACCTGTTCCCTCTTCCCTGGCTCTGCCCGACGTCTGGCGAGGACGTGGGGAAGTGGCGAAATCTTCCCCGCTCCACGGTCCGGCTTGTGCCCGTCACTTCCCAATTTCCGCTCGGTGCCAGCCGAGGAGACCGGGAGAAGGCGCGCCCCCGGTACACTCGCGAGTCTCTGGCGCGCCCCCGGCCCCGTCGCCGCCGCCGCGCCCACCCAGAGCCGCTTCCTCCCACTCGGTGAGTGATGCCCGGACCGCAGGGGAGGAGGGGGGCTCTACCCAACTGCGCCCCCAGCACCTCCGGGCTCGCTCCCGCGCACTGCCCTGCCCCTCCCCGCCGGGCAGTGGCCGACCCCCGGGTAAGGGGCGTGGCTAACAGGCAGAGTGCCCCGAGCGCGCCCCCGCGTTACCTTTCACCACGTCACACTCGATGACGCGTCCGCGGCGCTCGAAGAGGCTGCGCAACTCCTGGCTCGTGCATGCAGCCGACACATTGCCCACAAAGATCTTCCAAGTGTTGAGGGGCCTCGGGCGCGACATCTCCACCACGAGCGCGCGCCCCGGCCGCAGCTCGTGGCCGTGCAGGGCCTCGATGGCGCGCAGCGCGCCCGCGTTCTCGCGCATGTGCACGAAGGCGAACTGTTTCATGACGGCGCAGCTCATGACCGTGCCGTAGGGCGCGAAGAGGGCTGCCAGCTCCTCCGGCGTCGTATCCGCCCCGTCGACGTTGCCCACGAAAATCTTCATTTTGCCGCGGCAGCCGCCTTCCCGGAGACCCGGGACCGCTCCTCCAGCGACAGGCGAGACGACCGTCCGACCGGCAGTCCTCCTCAGGAATGGCTGGCGACCGAGAACCCCGCCGCGCAGGCGCCCTGGCCTAGCCAATCGGGAGCCGCATCCCGCGCGGCCGCCAGCCAATCAGAACGGCTTAGAGAAAATGCTCGCGGACCCAGCCAATCCCAGAGGGCCTGGAGCCCGCTCGGTAGCGGAGGGGTGGGAGAGGGAAGACGGCGCGCGACCAACCGCCGCTGCCCGGGGGCGGCGGTGAGGGGGGCGCTGGGGACGCGCGCGGGCGGCGCCGGCGGCCGCGAGGCCTAGTTGGTGAGGCGGCCTCTGTCCCGGGTGGGGCCGGACCCGGCGGGCCACAAGGAAAAACTTTGTTCAGTTGGAGATCAGGGCTCCTCCCGTCCTGGCAGCGTTTGCCAGATCCGCGCCTGAAGATGGCAGCGTGAGTGTCCGCGGGCGGAGCCCGGACAAACGCCGCCTTCAGGAGCGCGCGGCGGGCCGGGCCGGGCCGGGCCGGGCTGGGCGGCCCGCGGGGGCCCGAGCGACGGCGGCCCCGAGAAGCCCCCGTGCCGCTGGGCCGTCCTTTGTGAGCACTTTGGGGTCGCTGAAGCGCTGGCGGACGGGGAGCACCCTGGTGGAATTACGGGCGGAGATGACTGAAGTTTTCCACAACAGAAAGTTGAATGAAATAGAAAAGAGAGATCCTTGAGGAGGCAAAAGTTGAGCCTTGAAAAAAAAATCTTTTTTTTTTTTTAACCAACAGGTTTGGATATGAAAATAAAAACATTTCTCGTGGCAGAAGACGTCAAAAACAGTTACTTGACAAACCCGGGAAGAGACTTACCTGTTCATTTAACTCATTTGATTGAACACCTCCCACGTAGACACCAAGGATGTATCAGTTAAAAAAAAAAAAATGACAAAAACCCCAGCCTTCTTGGAGAGTACGTTATAGTAGGGAGAGACACAGCAAAGTAAAATATGTCTAGAGTGATTGATGGATGGTGATAAAGTAGGCCAGCATGGGGGTGCAGCTGGTTAAGCCACCACTTGCGACTCCAGCATCCTGTGTCAGAATCCTTGGAGCCCTCACCGTTCTGCTTCCGCTCTGTTTAATGCACCTAGGAAAACCAAAAAGATGGTCCAAGTGCTTGGGTCCCTGCCACCCAAGTGGGAGACCCTGATGGGGTTCCAGGCTCCTGGCATCAGCCAGTGGCAGCCACTGGGCAAGTGACCCAGTGGATGGAAGATCCCTCTCTGTCACTCTGTCTTTCAAGCAAGTAAATATTAAAAACCAAGCAAACGAACAAAAAGATACGCTGTAACCAAGGGAATAAGCTGTTCTCTGGGACGATCTTTCTAGCCTGAATGTACCAAAGTCCTGGGGCAGGAGCAAGTCCGGCTGGTTCAAAGAAGGACAAAGAATCAATGTGGGGGCCGGTGCTGTGGTATAGGGGTTAAAGCCCCAGCCTGCAGTGCCAGCATCCCATGTGGGCACTGGTTTGAGTCCCAGCTGCTCCACTTCCCATCCAGCTCTCTGCTATGGCCTGGGAAAGCAGTAGAAGATGGCCCAAGTCCTTGGGCCACTGCACCCGTGTGGGAGACCCGGAGGAGGCCTCTGGCTCCTGGCTCTGGATCAGCACAGCTCCAGCCATTTCGGCCAGTTGGGGAGTGAATCAGCAGACAGAGGACCTCTCTCTCTCTCTCTCTGCCTCTCCTCTCTCTGTGTAACTCTGACCTTCAAATAATAAATAAATCTTTTTAAAAAGCAGCAATGTGGCTATTGCCTGGAACAGGATGAATGCTAGGAAGGGAGAGTAGGGGGTGAGAGGGTAGGAAGGCCAGACATGGGACACCTGTAGGACACTGAAATGACTTTGACTGGAAACCTGTGGAGGGCATAGGACAGACTTACACGTTGTAATTATAAAACTTCTTGTAAATACCATTCTGGCTGCTCTTGGGATAAGCAAAAACAAATGAGAAAGAATTGCTCAAAACAATGACTGCTACTGAAAAAATCCCAGAGAGACCTGTGAGGTGGATCAGGGTAGCCATAGTCTGGGGAGAATCGGGAGAAGCAGTCAAATTCAGATGTGGTGTGACGGTGGAAGGAAGGCTCTGTGTGATTAATGTGAGCTGAGAGAGGAGCCAAAATGGCACAGAGGAAACAGAAGCATTGAACTGCCTCTTACCAACATGAGTAATACTGCAAGAGAAACCTATTTTCTAATGAAGATTAGAAATCCAGGGGCTGGCGCCGTGGCACAGTGGGTTAAAGCCCAGGCCTGCAGGGCCGGCATCCCATATGGACCCTGGTTCGAATCCCAGCTCACTGGTGCCAATCCAGCTCACTGCTATGGCGTGCGAAAGCAGTGGAAGATGGCCCGAGTGCTTGGGCCCTGCACCCACGTGGGAGACCCTGAGGAAGCTCCTGGCTCCTGGCTTCGGATTAGCTCAGCTCTGGCCGTTGAGGTTGTTTGGGGAGTGAACTAATGGATGGAAGACCTTTCTGTGACTCTGTCTTTCAAATAAATAAATCTCAACAAGGAAAAAAAAGAAAGAAAAGAGAAACCCAGTATTGGAGATTTCTGTGCTCAGATATCTTTTGTGTTCCCCAAATAGGACACATACGATGGAACCTAAATCAGAGGGTAAGGCCGTGGGAGATAATTTGATCAGGAGGGCAGATCCCTCAAAAATGTTGTGGTGTTGTGGCACAGCAGGTTAAGTTGCCACTTAGGACCCCTGTATCATGTATTGGAGTTCCTAGTTCAAATCCTGGCTACTCCACTTCCAACCCAGCTTCCTGTGAGTATGTGTATGTGGAAGGCTCCAGAACCTGAGTCCCTGCCGCTCATGCAAGACCCAGATAGAACTCCTGGCTCCTGGCTTCTGCCCGGCCCAGCCCTGACTGCTGTGAACATCCGGGGAGTGATTAAGCAGATGGGAGCACTCTCTGTCTCTGCCCCCAGTCACTCTGCCTTTCAAATAAGTCTTTAAGAAAAAAATTTCATTTAATTTTAAAAGAAGGAAAGGGGGACTGGTGTTGCAGTGTGGTAGGTTGTAATGCTAGCATCCCATTTGAATGCCAGTTTGGGTCCCAACTGCTCTGCTTCCAATCCAGCTCCTTGCTAATGCACCTGGGAAAGTAATGGAAGACGACCCAAGTACTTGGGCCCCTGCCAACCACATGGGAGACCTGGATGGGTACCAGTTCAAGTTCTGGCTGCTCCTTGTCCGATCCAGCTCTCTGCTATGATCTGGGAAAGCAGTTGGAGATGGCCCAAGTCCTTGGGCCCCTGCACCCACAAGGGAGACCCAGAAGAAGCTTTTGGCTCCTGGCTTCAGATCAACACACCTCCGGCCGTTGTGGCCATCTGGGGAGTGAACCATTAAATGGAAGACTTTCTCTCTCTCTCTCTCTCTCTCTCTCTCTCTCTCTCTCTCTCCTTTCTCTCTGTGTAACTGACAGAGTGGACAGTGAGAGAGAGACACAGAGAAAGGTCTTCCTTTTCCATTGGTTCACCCCACAATGGCCGCTGCGGCCGGCGCACCATGCTGATCCGAAGCCAGGAGCCAGGTGCCTCCTCCTGGTCTCCCATGCGGGTGCAGGGCCCAACGACCTGGGCCATCCTCCACTGCACTCCCTGGCCACAGCAGAGAGCTGGCCTGGAAGAGGGGCAACCGGGACAGAATCCGGCGCCCCAACTGGGACTAGAACCTGGTGTGCCAGTGCCGCAGGTGGAGGATTTACCTAGTGAGCTGCAGCGCCGCCTAACTCTGAGTTTGACTCACATTCTGCCAGGTATCCACCGCCATACTCTGAGGTACAGAATGGTTCTATCTCCTTAGAAGACTTCCCTGGGCCGGCGCTGTGGCACAGCAAGTTAAGCTGCCATTTGCAGCACCTACATCCCATATGGACGCCACTTCACGTCCTGACTGCTCCACTTCCCATCCAGCTCCCTGCTAGTGCACCTGGGAAAGCAGCCGAAGATGCCCCAAGTGCGTGGGCCCCGGTGCTCACATGGGAGACCCAAATGAAGCTCCTGGCTTTGGCCTGGCCCAGCCCCAGCCATGGCAACCATTTGGGAAATGAACCAGCATATAGAAGATCTCTCTCTCTCTCTCTGTAATTCTGACTTTTTTTTTTTTTTTTTTTTTTTTTTTTGACAGGCAGAGTGGACAGTGAGAGAGAGAGAGACAGAGAGAAAGGTCTTCCTTTGCCGTTGGTTCACCCTCCAATGGCCGCCACTGCAGCCGGCGCACCGCGCTGATCCGATGGCAGGAGCCAGGATCCAGGTGCTTTTCCTGGTCTCCCATGGGGTGCAGGGCCCAAGCACCTGGGCCATCCTCCACTGCACTCCCTGGCCATAGCAGAGAGCTGGCCTGGAAGAGGGGCAACCGGGACAGAATCCGGCGCCCTGACCGGGACTAGAACCCGGTGTGCCGGCGCCGCAAGGTGGAGGATTAGCCTATTGAGCCACGGCGCCGGCCCAATTCTGACTTTCAAATAAATACGTTAAAAAGAAAAAAAAAGGAAAAATTCCTCCCGCTGTTGCTTTGCAGTCTTCCCTGAGCCTCCAGCAAACATCTGTTTCCTTTCACTGTGGTTCTACCTATTCCCAAGCATCGTACAGATGGTGTTACGCTGCACGCAGCATAGTGCACTGGGATTCACTGATTCACTGCCTGCTTCACAGTTAGTGTTTTTCATTTTTTTTTTTTTAGACCAATGGCTTACCTTGTCTGGATATGCCACAAGGCTTTCCATTTCCCAGGTGAAGGACATCTGGATTGTTTCCAGTTTTGGAAGGTTATGACTAAGGTCGTGAACATGTATTTGTGCAAATAGAAGTCTTACTTTTGCTTGGTAAACATCTGTTAAGTTCAAAGTCATTTTGAGCAATAACAAGATATTAAAAAGTGTTGAGTGCTATATCAGGTGCACAGTAAGATCAAAAAATGCAGTTTTTAGGAAAGTGTGCTACAGAATTCTATTATAAGTCAAATGGAAAGAATCTACTTACAGCAGCCCAACCTGAATTTTATTTAGCACAGAGGCTATCTGCCAGAATTTTCTAGTTTCTGCAGCAACAATCCATTTGGAATTATAAAGTCCTGTATGGCTCTTTTTTTTTTTTTAATGCTTATCTTTATCTACTTGAAAACTAGAGGGACAGAGAGAGACGGAGATCTTCCATCCACTGGTTCACCCCTAAATGCCCACAACACTGGGAACTGGGCCAGGCCCAAGCTGGGGCAGGGAACTCAATCCAGCTGTCCTACATGGGTGGCAGGGACCCAATTACTTGAGCCATCACTGCTGCTTGCCGTGGTCTGCATTAGCAGGAATTCTGAAGTAAAATGCAGAGACAGATATCAAATTCAGCAACCCTCATATGGGACACTGGGATCTTTTTTTTTTTTTTAAGATTTATTTTATTTATTTGAAAGGCAGAGTTATAGAGAGAGAGAGAGAGAGAGAGAGAGAGAGAGAGAGAGAGGTCTTCTATCTGCTGATTCACTCCCCAAATGGCTGCCATGACTGGGTTGGGTCAGGCCGAAGCCAGGAGCCAGGAGCTTCTTCCAGGTCTCCCACATGAGTGCAGGGGCCCAAGGACTTGGGCCATCTTCTACTGCTTTCCCAGGCACATTAACAGGGAGCTGGATAGTAAGTGGAGCAGCCGGGACTTGAACCAGCACCCACATGGGATGCCCAAGTTGCACATAGTGGCTCAACTCACTATGCCACAATGTCTGCCCCCCTTCTTGTTGTTGTTCTTTGTTTTTGAAGATTTTTTTAAAAAGATTTTATTTATTTATTTGAGAGGTAGAGTTACAGACAGTGAGAGGGAGAGACAGAGACAAAGTTCTTCCTTCCATTGGTTCACTCCCCAGATGGCCGCAACGGCCAGGGCTGCACAGATCCAAAGCCAGGAGCCAGGAGCCTCCTCCAGGTCTCCCACGTGAGTGC